AGAAATTGCAATCTTCTTGATGGAATCACAAATCAAAGAACCGCTATATATGGTCTTCAATAAGGGCAATCCTGTCAATTCCAACCTTTCTAAGTTGGGTAGAGTGACTTTTTCTCCTTCTTTAGATTCAGACCCTATTATCTCCTCCAGTTGCTTACAATCATAAACCTCAATAGACTGTAGTTTCTGGAGATATCCTTGCCACCTTACCGAGCATAACTTCTTTATTTTATTACAATGCCGAACACTAATATCTTGAAGAGAGGAAAATGTGCCAGCTGGTAGCGATGCTGACTCAGCAATTGCTCCTACTTCCCCAAACACCATATTCAAGTTATGCACAGAATTAAGATCCAGCTTCTCAAGGTTTTGAAGCTTCCCCCAAATTCCAATCGTCTCCCATTTAAATTCTGTATCGGCATGGCGATTGGCAGTTACTAGTAAATGCTGAAGTTTGGAGAGATTTAGTAGCGGTTCATCAAGAGTTTCATATAATCTTCCACCAAGACCAAGATATTTTAGATTTGTTAACATGTTGAGGCCTTGCGGTAGTTCTTCAATTGATGTCCTTAAAAGGTCCAACTTTTTTAATCCTACAAGGTTGGATAATGCTGGTACCTCTCTTAAGGACTCACATTCCCATAGCAATAATGTAGTAAGCTTCTCCAATTTGGAGATAGAACTCGGCAGCCTACTTAGCTGACGATTCTTGGAAAGATCAACAATCTTGAGCCCAAGCATATGCTCAAAAAAAGCTTCTGGAATTGTTGAAATCTTATTGTCAGACAACAGCAAGGTTGTGAGCATAGGACACTTTGGAGACGGCATGCTTGAAGGAATTTCTGTTATGTCATTCCTCATTAAAGAAACCTTCAAAAGATTTTCTCTCCATTCATGCTCCTCTGGTAACTTCTCCAAGGCTATGCCGGCTTTCACCAAGAATTGAGGACTGATTTCCAGTGCCATTTCTCGGAGAAGATCATGCATACTCACACATTCTTCGTCTTCATATTCAATCGATTGCAACAAGCAGTTGTCAACTAGCTTATCGAGTATATCATGACCCTTCCAATTCATTGCCTCCCTAGTTTTCCCTTCCTTATATATAAGCCCCTCCTCAATCCAATACTCAATTAACTCCTCCTTTTCGATTTCATAATCTTCAGGATACAATGCACAACATAAAAAACACTCCTGGCATTGTTGTTCTAGGCATTCATAACTGAATTTCAAACAATCAATAATGCTTTCAAATTTACTGAATTCAGAAAGTGCCAACTTCCAATGACGAGGAAGTAATTTCCCTTTCATTGATTTTGCCACTGTCACAATAGCAAGGGGTACTCCATCACATTTCTGCAAAATTTGCTTCAAAAATGGCTCTATATCTCTTTTAATTTTGCCATCTGAAAACACATCACTTCCAATTTTCTCCGAGAATAATTCTAATGCTTCTTCAGGTGGAAGAGGGTTCACATGGATCACATTACAATCCATTGCACGGGCAACAGCTTTTGACCGTGTCGTGAGCACTAACTTGCAACCATTATTTCCAACTGGATTAGAAATTCCAACATCTTCTAGAGAAAAAGGCTCCCACACATCATCCAGAATTAGCAGGAAGCTGCCCTGCCCCAACCTTTGTGAAATCAATGCAGCAAGCTTGGTTTCATTCTCATGATCTGGCTGTCGTTTTAGTTCCAAGCTACTTGCAATCTTTTTCTGAAACTGGAGAATATCAAACTTCATTTTTTGCTGGACAGTAATGTTAAAGTCTTTTGACACTGTTACCCAAATAACTGTCTCAAATTTGGATTCAATCAACAGTTGGTTGTGGACATTCTTCATAATTGTTGTCTTGCCCACACCACCCATTCCCGAAACAGCAATTCTTGTAACCTTGTCTCCCTTCAACCATTCCAGAATTTTTTCTTGTATATCATCCCTGCCACAACATTTTTCAACGAGAAGTGGAAATCCTTTGATTGAGTGATCATCTCTGACCAAAATCACACCAGCATTAGTGAATTCTTTTCCTTGCTCAAGTATTTGCCTCGATTCTTCAATTTTTCTCCTGAGGTTGGATGGAGAGGAACATTCCTCTTGGCTGATCAGATCTTCAACCTTTATGCCAATCTGTTGGCCTGCTTTCTCTAGCCACTCTTCAACTTCCTTCCTTGCGATCTTTGCAGGTTGCATACGCTGAGTCTTCAAATTTGCTTCAACGTCTTCCTTTTGGTGCTTTAGCCTCTCCTGCTTTTCTTCAAATTCAGTTGCCCAATACTCAATTAAGGGAGTATCTAC